TAACGCTAATAATTATCGCAAAATATATTAACAAAAAAGGGATGTCATTTAAAAAATTGTTTTTACAATACATTTAAACATAAGTGTTGTTAAAAATAAATAAAAATACATTATTTTCAGAGATTTATATCATTGATGAGTTTGTTTGGCAACAGATCTTATGAGACAATTACACGCACAACGGGACACAAAATGCAACGAGTTATGAGTGAACTATTGTTTACAATTCAATGGCTATACTAGAGGAAAACAATAAGAAAATACAGGATATGAACATGATCAACTAAATGTACTGTAAAGTAGATTGTATAACGTATATATGACTTAACATGTTAAGGCAAATCACAAGCAAATTCCGGTCACATCCCTTTCCCTTCCAGTCATTTTCCATACAGTGCTTACATAACAAATATTTTTGTTGATAATCAAATTGGCGATTATCACATTATGGTCGCATAATTAACTTGCATATTATTTTGCATTTATATTAGTTTAATAAAAGTTAAACATTTATATTTTCATTATTTGTGAATGTTCAGTTAAACTTAATAAATTTTGTGCTTAATTAGAAGTTTGTGTTCAAAAAATAAATGTCGACATCAACAGAGAGTAATGATAAAAATGATATTGAAAGCCAATCATATATCAATATTGATAGCATGGACAGTTTACGTGAAACTATCAGGGTGATGTTTTACTTTCGCGGATCATGGTAAATATTTCAAAATTTTTATCTACTATTACAATAATCTAAAACTATAACCATAATAAATATTATATACTGTACTTATATATCAATAATTATCATATAAATGCATAAAACAATTAAATTAAAGTAAAATACTGTATTAATAGCGTGTTTGTGTGTATGTTAATGGAAACATAGGTTAATAACACTGTTATTATTAGCGTATAATCACGACTTTAATTGCGCTCATTGTGTGCATTGGGTTTGGTATACGACTATTGTCTACGCGATTATACTGTCCATCATTATGACAGCCGATGCCATCACTCTCTATGTATTGTCGTCCTATGGCTTAGCCGACAGAGTATTACTTGTCGTCAAACTATTGCTTTGCTTCAGAGGCCGTATGTATTGTGTGCTTTTTTTACCCCTAATTTTACCATAATATACAATTCATACAATTATAATTTTCAAACAATGTATATTTAAAATAACTGTATTTATAAATATTATTTATTTATTTTTTGGCATTTTTAAATATACCGTTTGATATACAGTTTTCCCTCCAGTTATAATGTTTTCATATGTAAAATATATTCAATTTATATTTTTACAAATTATAACTAATTATAACTATTAATATTAATAATTTATACAATACATAACCTGTTGGCTATACTATATTATAGTCGAGAAACACAATTAAAATTTTAAAACACTAACATTTTGAGGACAAATATATTAATCTTTTAAAAATAAGTTATAAAAATATGTCTAATTAAATATTTATTTAATAAATAGTCACGCATTTGGTTGAAATGTGTTGGTTTATCACAAGTGTAACATTGACTGTGCGATTGGGCGCAGGTATCACATCCATGGACTGGTATTTTGCCTCCATTTCTAATTTAATTACATTTGCATTCATTCTCATCACTATTATATCCTATTCACTAATTAATAAATAAGTAATTTAATTATACATTATTTTTTATAAACTATTAATCATGTATTTTATATAATATATAAAACTATATTTATTTATTATACTGTATTTATGTTTTAATTTTAAAAAATAACATTAAAAACAATTTTAAAC